ATGTGGTGGTGATTTGTGGATTTTTTTATTTCAATTTTTTTTAAATAATTTTTTTAATGTTGTGAATGACCCATCGAGTACATGTGTTTAAATTTTCTTCGTTAATTTTAACCGCATTTTTCAAATTTTTATCTGCTTTTATCGTCGTAAACAGTTCTTTTCAGAACTAAAAATTTCCTTTAATCTCTTCTGGCTCTATCGACACCAAGATCAGATATATCTGTGAGGTAACAACATCAATCCATCCATGGTTACCATGGATACATTGGACGATTTGGTAAACAAAATTGATGAGCAACTAAAGGCAGCTCTTAATATCATTTCATCTGGCAAATCTCTTAAAAGACCGATCAATAACAATGAATTCAAAACTGTCGAAATGATTTTCGAGCAAATCACAACCTTTTCAACGATCATCAAAGAAAATGCCAATTTGATTTCTATGGATAATCTCAACAAAAAATTTGAGGAAGTCAAAACATTTCCCCAATCTACACCCAGTTTTGCAGATATCGTCAAGCTTGAACAAAAAGTCATCTCTAATAAATCTTCTGGTCCTGTTGAAAAAACACTGATAATTTCAGCTAAAGAAAATACAAACATTCTGGATTTACAACAACAAGTACATGGACATATCCGTGCAATGCGTTCAAACAAAAACAAAACTAAGATCAATAAAATTATTAAATCCCGAAATGGAATTATCATCAAAACACCATCTACGAACGACTTGGACATCTTGATCGCCGAATTCCAAAAACAAGATATTATCAACAACAATGCCAAAATATATCAAGCCAAAGCGTTTGATCCAACTATTGTGCTCAAAAAAGTTGATAAAATGACTGACCACGACAATATTTCCCAAATCCTTTGTGAAATGAATCCTGAATTGGAAGGATGCCAAGATGATATTAAGCTACTATTCAATATTAAAACAACGACTGTTCCACACCACGATCTTGTACTAAGAGTCTCACCGAAAGTGTACAACATCATCAAAAAACTAAATCATGTCCACACTGACCTAGAAGTAGTGCAAATAAGAGATCGTGTTCTGGTCAGGCAATGTCAAAAATGTTTCGTTTTCAACCCTCAACATAAACTAACAGAGTGTCCAAATCTTCTGGTGTGCAAAACCTGTGGAAACACAGGCCCTCATCAATGTGATCTTGTTCAACGCTGCCACAACTGCATCAAACATCCAAAATATCGCACCAAAGACACTAATCATCTGCCAAACAATAAACAATGTCCCATTTATCTAGATCAATTCGAACGTGTAGTGCAAAAAACATGCTATAATGCTGTAGAAAACGAATCTGTCAACCAACACAGCTCGACTTTAGTATCAGACAACAACCATGGCCAATAAAATCAGTATTGTCCAACAAAACCTTCGAAAAAGCAACATTGCAACAAACGAATTTAAACATAATATTTCTCAGCATATTAACGATATAATACTAGTACAAGAACCAAATATCTTCCGACCCGAAAACAAACCTGTGTTCTCTTCGCCAAGTGATATTCTATACAAACAGGAACTCAACAAAACACCAGATACGGCAATCGTCATCACCAATAAATCACTTATTATAAATCTGATTCATGAATTCTCCTGCTCTTTCGCAACAACCATTTCCATACAATGCATCGACCGTTTTATCATCATCTGCAACATATATATAAGACCAAACGAAATCTGCACTGAGCACATTGAATTCATCGAGAACATCATTAATAAATACCGCAACACTCCATTGATCATCTCTGGCGATTTCAACGCACGTCATCTGCTATGGCACGATAAAATTATCAACAGAAACGGAACGAAAATTTTCGATATCATTGATAAACATAATCTCATAATCCACAACAACAAAGAAAAAACATGTCAGACATCAAACGGAAATAGCATTATTGATATCACCTTGACAAACGATCATGGCTGCCACATCGTGCAAAATTGGAAAACAACAAATCTAACAAGTTTCTCTGATCATTTTACCATCGTCTTCGACATCTCTATCTATAACCTCTGTCGTAAAAAGTCAACATCCACATGGAAATTCAATGAAAAATGTGCCGATTGGAAAAAATATCGAACTAGTTTTAATCCCAACGGATGTGAAGATCTCATAATGTCAGTAAACAACATCATAGATAAAAACGACATTGATCTAGCCATAACCAAATTCAACAATTTAGTCATCTCGACAGCGCAACAAGCTATTCCCAAAAAACGAAATACCAACTACAGCAATAGAAATTCCTGGTGGAACAATGATCTAGAAAACCTAAAAAACAAGTTCCACGTGATTCGAAACCGGTATTTTCGTAAAGATCCTACAGTCGACCGTCTCTTGTACATCCAGACGAAAAACAAATATTCAAACGAAATCAAAAAGGCCAAAAGAAATAGCTGGAAGTTATTCATGGAAGAATTGGAAAACGAAAAACCGTTTGGTAATCTATACAAAATTCTCAAATCAAAACTTAAAAAAACAAACACCAACCTGCCTATTATCGATGATATTAGTCCTACACACCAAAAACAAAAAGCCTCTGAATTGCTCGGTAATATGTTCCCAACTGATGATATCACAACTGACAGTCCTGCTAACTATCACATCCGAAATCACCAGATGCAACATCGTAATAACACCGAAATTATAACAACAAGTGAAAGAATCTTCAATATAATTAAATATCTGGGCTGTAAAAAAGCCCCTGGGCCTGATAATATTTCCAACAACATGCTGCGTTTCCTTCCTAACGAAATAATCGAATCTATCACCATCATCTTCAATAAGTGTCTACAGTTAGGTTATTACCCAACTGCGTGGAAACGTGCAGAAGTTAGAATCATCCCGAAACCAAATAAAACGGATCTCGCCCATCATAAAAGCTATCGACCCATTAGTCTCACATCCAATGTCAGCAAAGTTTTCGAGAGAGTAATCAAAGAGGAGATTATGTCTCACTCTATTTCAAATAACCTCTTTTCAAACAAGCAGTTCGGATTTATGCCCGGCAGGTCCACTACCGATGCGCTGCAGAGCATCATCAACAGTTCATTAGATGCAAAAAAAAAGGGTCCATCTGCAATCATTGCCGTTGACATTGCAGGAGCATTCGACCACGCCTGGTGGCCATTCATTATTTATCAGCTGGACAAACTAAATTTTCCATCTGGAATCACAAATATTATACAATCCTATCTAGATGATCGAAACATTAGTTTTCAATATAACAACATCTCTATCTCCAAACCAATTAATAGGGGTTGCCCACAAGGTGGCGTCATTTCCCCAATACTGTGGAATCTAATAATGAATGACCTCCTTCTAAGCTTCAATATAGATAACTGTGACATCTTCGCATATGCAGATGATGTATCTGTTATATGTTGGCACGATTCACTTGATAATTTGAAAACAACCATCGTCAATGCGATTAATTTTATTAATAAATGGTGTCAAAAAGTCAAACTAACAATCTCAACTGAAAAGACCGAAATTTTATATCTCATTAACCGCCCACCGCCAATTATTCGATGTAACAACGCCACCATCGTTCCTGCTAAGGAAATCAAAATTCTTGGTCTCTCGTTTAAAAATCACCGTCACAAAAACAAAATAAATTTTCATCCCCACGTTATGAAACTTGAATCAAGAGTCACCAATATAAAAAATATTCTATTCAGTCTAAGTGGCAAAATATGGGGTATTGATCCACGCAAAAGGAAAATCCTATACATATCGGTCATACGCCCAATCTTAACATATGCAGCCACAGTATGGTTTCCCCTTTTAAACAAAAAGGATATACTTAAAATCAACTCATTGCAACTTCGAATTCTACATCACGTGATTTCTTCTTACCGTACTGTGTCGTACGAATGTGCCCATCTCCTAAATGATATTCCGATTTTTTCCGACTACATCAACATCTGCCGTATCAAACGGGAACTGAAAACAAATGGTACTGATCCGGATATTATTGAATGCACGATTAAAATAGAAATAGAAAAAATGAGAAATCTATATCTTAACAAAGTCAATGACAACTTTAAAAGTTTCTTTCCTACCGGCGTTCCTAAACATTACAGAACAGACTTCTTCACAACACAGTTCATAACCGGACACGGACAATTCAATAGTTATCTCCACAAATTAAACATATCGAATTCACCCACATGTATTTGTAACAACATTGATCTTCAAACACCTATTCACTTGCTTACACAATGTCCTATGTTTAATACTCCGTTCACAACACCATCCACATACACACACCCCAAAAACACTTCCATTTTCAAAAATACATGTAAATACATTATTCACACATTACAAAACAATTAACACTTTTATTTTTGTTTCGTTTTATTTTTATTGATTTCTTATCATTATTCGACTGTATATCTTCATTTG